ATGCATTTAGAAATCTAAATGTTATTACTTTCAGTAAGTTTTCATTCCTGATGTTGGGGCTGTGCTCTTCTGGGTATCTCTCTCTGCCTTCAAATTATAGGCATTTCCAAAGGAAAAGGAGACAGAATTGTAATTAGGTAGCCATGTGCTTTCATTTTTATGCATGGGTTAGCCTGTAACCTTGGTTTTCACTTTTTGCAGTGTACCTGGCCAGTTTCTATATTCTTCCAGAATTTTTTGTAGTTTTCACAAAGTCATGACCTAAAGACGATATGCACCATGGTTATTACCTCTCGTCACCAAAGTTATGGGTGGATGGGCCAGACTGTGTATCCTTTTATAATGGTAAGCCCAGGATACTGCTCTGGCTGGCAGTGGAAGACAAAATATTTTAAATATTTTCACATTTTCTAATGAAGATAGAATTCCAAAAGCCTAAAATAACTGTCATTACAAAGAAGGCTAAAGAGGAATATCTTTTCCTTGTAAATAATTGACTTAGCTATCTATGAAGATACTAACTTTACATTTATTTATTTGTCTACTTATTAATAGTTTTCCCAGTGAGATGGTAAGCTCCATGATGGCAGGGACTGTATCTGCTTTCTCATTGCATTTTTCACCTGCAGCTTAACACAGTGTCTTGGTGTTGTTACCTAAGAATCTTTTTTTTTTTTTTAATTATTATACTTTAAGTTCTGGGGTACATGTGCAGAATGTGCAGGTTTGTTACTTAGGTAAACATGTGCCATAGTTGTTTGCTGCACCTATCAACCTGTCACCTACATTAGGTATTTCTCCTAATGCTATCCCTCCCCTAGTCCCCCACCTCCCAACAGGCCTCTGTGTATGAAGTTCCCCTCCCTGTGTCCATGTGTTCTCATTGTTCAACTCCCACTTATGAGTGAGAACATGTGGTGTGTGGTTTTCTGTTCTTGTGTTAGTTTGCTGACAATTATTGTGGCAATGTTCACAATAACAAAGACTTGGAACCAACCGAAATGCCCATCAAAGATAGACTAGACAAAGAAAATGTGGCACATACACACAATGGAATACTATGCAGCCATAAAAAGAATGAGTTCATGTCCTTTGCAGAGACATGGATGGAGCTGGAAACCTAAAAATCTTTAAATAAATATTTGTTTTAAAAAAATGACTAAGTAGAGGCCAGATGCAGTGGCTCACGCCTGTAATCCCAACACTTTGGGAGGCCAAGGAGGGCAGATCACGAGGTCAGGAGTTCAAGACCAGCCTAGCCAAGGAGGGCAGATCACAAGGTCAGGAGTTCAAGACCAGCCTAGGTTTCACCACATGGTGAAACCCTGTCTCTACTAAAAATACAGAAATTAGCTGAGCATGGTGGCACGTTCCTGTAATCCCAGCTACTCTGGAGGCTGAGACAGGAGAACTGCTTGAACTGGAACCCGGGAGGTGGAGGTTACAGTGAGCTGAGATCATGCCACTGCACTCCAACTTGGGCTACAGGGTGAGACTCCGTCTCAAAAAAAAAAAAAAAAAGAATAAGTGGCATATCAAGTGTTACCATTCTCTATAATAGTAAAATCTATTTATTTATTTATTTATTTATTTATTTTTTTAAATTTTATTTTATTTTATTGCATTTTAGGTTTCGGGGTACATGTGATGAACATGCAAGATTGTTGCATAGGTACACACATGGCAGTGTGGTTTGCTGCCTTCCGTCCCCTCACCTGTATCTGTCATTTCTCCCCATGCTATCTCTTCCCACTTCCCTACCTAAATCTATTTAAATAGGATATAGAGATTACTCAAAATTTTGACACCTTTATAACTTTCTCTTTAATTTCACAGGAAATGTATATAACTTTAGTTTTCAGAGGATGAAAATGAACATTTATTGTGCCTGTTATGCATTAGGCACTCAGGCACTGTGCTAGACTCAATGCTTTGCAGAAACTCACATTTAAACAGTATCACATCATCCTACAATCAAGCTTTTAACACATAAATAGGTCTATTCCTACCTCTACCATTGACTATGTTACTTTGGGAATTCTTTTAATTTCATGCACAGAACTAAAAACATAAATCTATTGAGTAAGAATTTAATATTACTAAAATAATTAACTCCTCTCTCATGAGGAACTGTTATAGAAGAAAGTTTTCCATTTTGAAGTTTCCCAGATTTACCTCTTTCAACACAAATGTTTTTCTTAAATTTCAACTATTTTAATGAAAATATTTTTAAACATTTTTTATCTGTACAGCCTTAGCCAAAATGTTTGGAGTATGAGTCTATTTTTTTGGATACCTCAGATAAGGATAGTAGAGTGGTTAAGGGCAGAGGTTTTAGAACCAGACTACGTAGGTGTAAATCCTGGCACTACTACTTACTAGCTATGTTATTTTAGTTAAGTTAACTTCCCTGAGGCTGTTCTCTTGTCTGTAAAATAAGGATAATCCTAATATCTACAATTTAGGGCTGTCTTGAGGATTAAATAATGACATATGCAGAGTGCTTACAACACAGATGATGCAAGGCAAATAGTACATGCTCAATAAATACTAGCTTAAAAAGTTTTAATTTATTAAGGTATTGAGCTCTTAGGTGAGCATGCACTCTTTTCCTCTATCATACAAAATAACCCCAAACTGCTACTTTTTTTTTTTTTTTGAGTTGAAGTCTCTCTCTGTCACCCAGGCTGGAGTGCAATGGTGTGCTCTTGGCTCACTGCAACCTCTGCCTCCCGGATTCAAGCAATTCTCCTGCCTGAGCCTTCTCAGTAGCTGGGATTACAGGCATGTGCCAACGTGCCCAGCTAATTTTTGTATTTTTAGTAGAGATGGGGTTTCTCCATGTTGGTCAGGTTGGCCTCGAACTCCCAACCTCTGTGATCTGCCCACCTCGGCTTCCCAAAGTTCTGGGATTACAGGCATGAACCACTGTGCCCGGCCCCAAAATGCTTTTTTTAAAAAAATTATTCTTATATAAATTGTATTTATAGATTTTGTTTTCTATGTAAAGTTTTGTTCTTCGGTTTGTTACCTCAATCTTATTTGTTAATTGATGCCTTTATAGTACCCCTTCTTCTAATTTGAAGCTTTACTGTGGGCTGAGAAACCAAAACACTGTATTCATAAGAAATTTGTAAAAATATTCCGGCTGGGCGCAGTGGCTCACACCTATAATCCCAGCACTTTGGGAGGCCACGGCAGGCAGATCACAAGGTCAAGAGATCGAGACCATCCTGGCCAACATGGCGAAACCTCATCTCTACTAAAAATACAAAAAAAAAAAAAAAAAAAAGCCAGGTGTGGTGGTGGATGCCTATAGTCCCAGCTACTTGGGAGGCTGAGGCAGGAGAATTGTTTGAAACCAGAAAACGGAGGTTAGAGTGAGCCGGGATCAAGCCACTGCACTCCAGCCTGGTGACAGAACAAGACTCTATCTCAAAGAAAAAAAAAAATTGTAAAAAGATTCCTCAGCAAGGGCCTCGGGGTTTCTTCCAAGAATAAGGTACATAAGTTACATCTATTTCTACTTAGAGGCCTTTCTGGATTACTTATTGTGTTCTCAGTTATTTTTGTGAAAGTTGGAAATACCAAAAAAGTAACCTAAGGATTAATGAGGCACTATTGTTTTAATTCTGTCAAGCATTAGATTAATCAAGAACAAGTGAAAGGTTGATTTCTTCATGTTTTACACTGTTAATCTTCTACAATTATTAATCAGCTACCAATGTAATTATTAAACTTTCAATCTGAACAATGTTTTTAGTGTAATACTGAACGAATACACACATTCTATATTACAAACCCCATCTTAAAACTTGGGTATTACTAATTGTGCTATTATACAAAGCCCAAGCAAAATAAAATGTTTCTGTGTGACTCAACCCACAGTTCTTATGTGGAAGTTATCAAGTCAATGAAAGGGAAAAAACATGAATCACCAAAAGGGCTAAATGAAATAACAATCCATGGATAAAGTAAAAAGAGAGGGTAAAACAAATGATAAGCTCTTGAAATATAAATAAAAAGAAATGGAAAGATTACTAATAAGTAAGGAATAATTTGCAAACTTTATTCCCAATCCCTAAGTGAATAATGTGTTTCCAATTTAATGTTCAGTTTAGTAGCATCTCTACCTTTTAACCCTAATGGAAAGGCAGGAGAGAAACTCTGAGTAAAAAAAAACAAAACCATGTGCATTCATGATGATGAAACCTTCTGCTCAAGTAGCCACATGCCAGAAGAGGCACAGAGGATCCAACACACTTGGGAAATCTGGGCCTGAGCCAGAAACTGGCAGCCATCAGCCCCAAATATTTATATTTTATGTCTTATTTTAAAAATGTATATGTATTTTGCATTTTACTCTGTTATGTACTATGGAATTTTGAATACAAAAATAATGTTTCTAGAAATTGAATTATTTAACTTCTCCCATTCCCAAATATACAAGTAAAATTGATGCTCCAGGAAGATTTGCACTGTGGTTCTTGTGGCTTTGCCTTCCCCTTGAACAATACCAATATGGTCAGCAGTATGTGAGAAGCACAGGTGAAATAATACCTTATATAATATGATGAGCTCAAGAGTCTCAAATGATCCACAAAAAATTAATGATCCAATAATCATTAAATAAATGCTTCAATTCTCATGTAACTCAGTGAAGCTAAGAAATCCAAAATAATGATAAAAACTAGGCCCTGAAATCTTAAAATGCCCTCTTAGCTTTTGAGCTACAGTTTTTATAAAAAGATCAATAACGATGTCTTCCTGTTCCAATATAGCATTAGTGTTTTCCTAAATACATTAACTTCAGAAGTACTGAATTACCAAGAAGGATCAGCACCGCAATGAAACAAATAGTTGTCCTTAGCAAACTAGTGATTTGCAGTACAGAGAACCCACTAAAGGTTGCTGGATACACAACAACAAAAGGCAAAGATGTCAGGATAAAAGATAATAAAGCATGGTGGTCACCCAAAATCCAGAAGGATAACACTCACCCTCATCCTGATAATCTGACAAAAAGGGTGCATCAGATGTAAGGGACAGGCCAGGAGTCCCACTGTGATTATCATCAGAGCTGTCCTGTCCAAGGTCTCCCCCTGAGGGACAAAAAAGAGAGAAAATAAGATCATGCTTTGGACATCTTTATAAAAGCATAATAGATCTCTTCCAGTATTTGAAAAAAAAAAAAAAAAAGATGTATCTTACTCTATGATGAACATGGCCACTGTCCATTAACATATGGGAAACAGATAAATAAGTTCAAGAACCAACTTACCTGGATGAAAAATTTTCCACTCAAATAACTCTCTCACTAAAACTTAGGAACTGTTAGCTTAGAGTGGGAATACCTTTTGCCACCAAAAAGAAACTTGTCTATCATACTTAAAATAAAAACGGAGCTATATAGATTTATATTTGGCCAGGTGCGGTGGCTCACACCTGTAATCCCAGCAGTTTGGGCGACCAAGGTGGGCAGATCACCTGAGGTCAGGAGTTTGAGATCAGCCTGGCCAATATGGTGAAACCCCATCTCCACTAAAAATACGAAAATTAGCCGGGCATGGTGGTGGGCGCCTGTAATCCCAGCTACTCCAGAGGCTGGGGCAGGAGAATCACTTGAACCCTGGAGGTAAAAGTTGCAGTGAGCCGAGATCGAGCCATTGCACTCCAGCCTGGGTGACAAGAATAAGACTCCATCTCAAAAAAAAAAAAAAAAAAAAAAAAAAAGAATTAAATTTGTGTTCATATATATGATGTCTCCAATAATTACAACCTTTACCCCGCATGACTTTATTTCCAAATAAAATAGGACCGACCCAAAGGTTTAACCTTCTATACATAATATAACATAGTAAGGTCAATAGTCTTCCTCTGAAAAGTAACAGAAGTATTGTAAAAATAGAGATAACTAGACTTTGCTGGACTGTATTCCTATTTGTTCTGTAACATTAACAAAGTTCTTTCTTTGTAATTCTAGTTTACAGCCTAGGCAACCGACCTCTCAGGAATTCTAAAAGCCCTAAGAAGATAATATTTGTTCTGTAAAATGCCTTTGATGGCTTTGATAAAAGATAATGTATATACAACACTGAATTATGCAATTAATGCTAATCTCTTTTGTGTGTTTTCAACATACATTGGATTGTATTTTGTAGAAGTGGCCGATGTTATTATGATACTTTAAAAGGTTCAGACAGAAGATGTTAGCTCATTCAGAAACCGGAAGAAAAGGCTCTGTATTGCAAATGGCTTTCCTTAAAATCCCCCAAACAGAGGGACTGTCTGCTGATAAAAGGAAACCAACAGCTGCTTAGTTCATTTCACAAACACGAAAATAGAATTTTCAACTGAATTTAATATTATCTCAAACACTAATTTCCAAAGGAAATCACCAATGCTAATCTCAGTAAATACTGCAGAGTTTTGGCCTTGGATTTCAACTAGGGAGCTGTGAAACCAAACAACCTACATAGAATCTGTATTGCCTCACTTTAAAGGTTTATTTCCTATAATTAAACTAGAAAGCTAGGGAGGTTATAAAATGATAAAAAGAGAATGGCTGCAGCCTTCTCTTTCCATAAATTAGATAATCATATCTAGACTCTTCTTCAAATGCTGTGTGGTAGGTAGATGTCCATACTGAGTTGAACACCTACAAATACAGGATTTTAGAAATAAACTGTAGAGTTTATTACGGAAAAGAAAAATAAAATTTTAGAAAACTCACACAACAAGTCATTGGCCGAAGCCAGAATAAATACTCTCCTTTATTAGTTTACTTATCAGGATACAACGTTTATAGCTATGCTTAGAGCATTGCTGTATAATTTCCATGATAACCAGAAAAATTCTTACATACTGGTCTGAGGATTAAAATGCTCAAATTTTACAAAAGTCCACTAAAATTATATTATCAACACATTCTAAATGGACTGCCTGGCTAGTAACCTGAAAGTGAGCTGCAAGGTTAAACTGAATTTTTATTTTAAGCCAAATAAAAATCCCTAAAAAGAAAAAAAAGTACTTGAATTGCTAAGTAACATGTAACTTTTGTAGAATATACTGAACATTATTTATAAACTATTATTCTGGACTCAGTTTTCTGCTTGCTTCAGAAATGTGGCAAATCTACCATTAAAGAAAAAGAACCCAGCCAGGTGCAGTGGCTCACGCCTGTAATCCCAACACTTTGGGAGGGTGAGACAGGAGGATGGCTTGAGTCTAGGAGTTCAAGGCCAGCCTGGGCAACATGGTGAAACCCCATCTCTATGAAAAGTACAAAAATTACCTGGCACAGTGGCTCGTGCCTGTGGTACCAGCTACTTGAGAGGCTGAGAAGGAAGGATTGTTTGAGCCAAGGAGGTAAAAGCTGCAGTGAGCCATGATTGTGCCACTACACTCCAACCTAGACAACAGAGTAAGCCCTGTCTCTGAGAAAGAAAAAGAAAGAAAAGAAAAGAAAAGAAAGAAAAATAAAAAGAGTATATGCTCACATTCTAAGCTTTTTAAAAAACATGCAGATCAGGAAAGGCTTTTGTTGTGTTGGTGGTTTTTTTTTAGGTTAACTTCTTATTTTGGAATAATTGTAGATTTATGTAAGTGTTACAAAAATAGTACAGAGTTTCTACATACCCTTCACCCAGTTTCCCCCAATGTTAACTTCTTACATAATTGAGGTCTAGCTGCCCAAACCAATAAATCAACATTGGTATATTGCTATTAACTAAACTACAGACTCTATTTGGATTTCACAAGTTTTTTACTAATGTCCTTTTTCTGTTTTAGGATCCAATCCAGGGTATCACACTGCCTTCACAACCTCCGTTTTTAAAGTCTTACCCAAAACCCCTGCCTGGATTTGGCACTTGCTTTCCTAACTTCAGATGGAAAAGTCACTTCCACATGATTCCTATGGTTTCTGACTATAGTCACCCAAGGTGTGCTTTCAACAGCCACCCTGGTGTCAAATATGAGACCATTCTTCTGTAAAGTATACAACGACAAAGAAATACAACTCAATGCTGCAAAACAGAGCCTAGGCCAAATGGTTGTACAAATGGTTTTGGTGGGGGAACATTTAAAAATAAGCTTTACACCCAAGAGCAATTAGTTCCTGATGATGGAGATGTTGTTATAAGTGTTTTTAGTGTCATATCAAGTGACCCAGTTCCCTCGGGCACACGCAGAAACAAGGCTATAACACTATATAAATAGACACTCCCGTGTAATTGAAATGATTACAACTACTCGGGATGCATGGGTGAAAAGTTTTATAGAAGAATAGCAATTACTGTGGTCATTTTGGATTTGTTTAAGAACATCATTTTTCTTTAAAACATAACTGCGCATGTTCTCTGGATTTGCCCATAGTTCTGACAATCGCAGTTCCAAGTGGCCACAACCGTAGTCCAGTGGGATCAGACATAAATGATCACAAACTATAGTGACAGACATTTCCACTCAGCAGCTCTACAATTAGGGCTTAGAACTCCATCTGCTTAGAGTGGCTTTCTCACAAGCAAGATCCCTTGCCACTGGAGACACACTTTCACACTGCAACTCCCTCAGAATCAATATATTTCTATACAGATAGATATTCTAACACACTGTATCTCTATTAATCACATCCACTACCTTCAGTCCTTTCTCTTCGTATTTCTAAACAAGATCTGGTGGAACTATATCAAGGGTTCACCTGCTATTAGTAGGTAATTTGCTCCTGTAGCCTAAGTGTCATAAGAATTGGGCACTAGATACACTCCTTAGTATACTCAATGGCAGGTTCTCCACCAAGTACGTGCTGAGGGGCCCATAAGCGGGATGATTTCTCTATTGTTCTTTTCTGAGAGTCAAACTCAATTTCATTCATGCTCCATAGAGTGATAAGTTGGGAATTTCTGAGGGTTGGAGCAGAAAGATGAAGCAGCTTTGTGTCAGGTATAAGGTAATTATTTGCTAGGGTTTCTGTGCTATTTGTTTTTATTCCCTGTGTTTTCATTAACAGTTAATGAGTTTTCCCCCTTAATTCTGAAACAATAGGTTTGGCCACTAGAAGTTGGCTTTTTCTGCTACAGATTCAACCAGCTGTTGCTGCTCCATAAACTTTATGGAGAAGTGAATTAAACTGCTAAAACTTTCATTTACTAATTCAATTCCAAATAAAACAGGGAGAAAAATGAACCATGATGATGTTCCCCTTGTAACTATTTTAGTTCACAGCAAATCCGTTTAGTCCTGAACTTGCAGGTACTATTCTGGGACCAAAAAAGGCCATAATGACAATTTTACCAGAGAAATGAGAAATAAATTAAAAAAGACAGAAAATGGTTTAAGCATTAAAAAAATGAGAGAATAATAAATAACAGCAAAAACATATATGCTTGCTTATTCAATATGTAAAAGCTTGATTTTTTATGTTAGTCTATATCTTTTATTTCTCTTCAAATTAATTATGAACTATATTAGAAAGACTATTCTTCATAATAAACCTTTATAATAAAACTATTTTAATTTAGTGAATAAGACTCTATTCACATCTGTAACCATTTGTTTATATGGTGTGGTTAAAAACCAGGGTTTGCCATTACTTCACCAAGTAACTTTGGATTATATAAGAAAATTGAGATTCATTTAAAATTGAAAGTTTTAAAATTATCATTGTTGTTGTTGGAAGGGAACACACGACTTCCTATTCTATTTAATATTGAAGAACCCATGAGAAATAGAGCTCCCTCTTTAAACTAATACATTCTTACTAAAATGCGATAAATAAAGCTCCCTAATCCAAATCCAGTTTGTTTCCATGCTTGACAGCATTAATATTGCCAGATTTTCTGGGCCAATTTAACAGTAATGCAGCTCCCAAAGCTGAACTATAGTAAGATTAGCAAAACTGCAGCTTATTGTTCCTTATTATAACCACTCAACTAAGTTATTGAATCTAACACCAACTAAATAAATATGTTGGGTACAGATGTGACCATATATACGAAATGTTACTCACATGTAAATACATTAGCACATTCGCTGCACCAAAACTAAAATTCTGTCAATGCTTCCATTATAAATTACATACCAGTTTGCACATATTCATGCT